AATCGGCACATTAGATAAATAGGAAAAACGCTATACATATACGTCACGTCAGTATAATAGGTATATGCCCTAAGGGCCAAATTATGGACCAACTAATAAGTGTCTGATTGTTACCTAGCAGGTACTTTCTATTCTCTAGTGCATAGAAAGTACCTGCTAGGTAACAACCAGACGTTTACCAGTCAGTCCATTATTTGGCGCTTGCATATAAATGACGTCATCATAAAATTTCTCAGCAACTTAAGTATTTCTTACATGGTATTTCTGATTAGTAGATTTAATACGCACTGGAGAGTCCATCTCTTTCTTAGCCTGTTGAGGAAACCGATAGAAATACAGTTTCTTTATCCTAATTCTACAAACCAGAAACGACATTAGCCGTGTCTATTTTTGTAATCTTTTTCGTCGTTTTGCTCCGAAATTTTGACAGGTACGTGATTTGTGAATTGAAACTGTCTGATCCATTGAACTAAACAAACACTCTGGAATGGGTGCACTGCTTTATGTTAGTGTGCCGAATATATGCAACCCAGCAATCCAGAGGGATTGTTATTTTGCTCGCACTCATTGCGGTTAACGTAAAAGAAAGAAGAGCTTCATCTTCCTAACCTCAATAACCCTTTTCATGTGGCTCGGGTTTAACAAACCGCAACATATCGCTTAAGGGCCCAATTACAGTATATTTGCATCTGCAAATTTGCAGTTCTGCAAATATGGCCGACTTGCAGATGTGCTCTATTTGCAGGAACGAGCAAATTACAGAAAAAAACCTGCAAGTCCGTCATATTTGTCGAAAAAGTGTTTGGGCACTACTGATTTACCTGTTTGAAATGTCAAAGTTGTCAAAGTGACTGCAAGAACTTACGGGACCGTTTCGCCATGCGCAAATTTGCAGGCGACTTGCAAATCCATTCTGCTTCTGTAATACAAAAACTCAGACTTGCAGGTCCTGCATTTGTATCTTGCTGTTGCAGAGCTTCTGTAATTCAGCACTAAATTCGAGTGGTAGGTATCCATCACGTCACTTTGTAACCGGGTTAGAAAATGGTATGTCATTTTTCTAACCGTTTTGTAACCCGGTTAGTTAAACCGAAGCCACGTGAAAAGATTTAATGATCCAGAGAGAGATGCAAATCCCTCGTTTGTTGTCTTTCCTGGCACAAATCCTTGCGTAGAAACATTATGCAGCCACCGTTCCAGTGTGTTTGTTTAGTTCATTGAAAAAGTTGATTGGAATTCGAATTCGAATGGCAGTAACGTAAATTGAATAGGGAACGTTCGAAATCATATCAATTTTCGTATGCCAGAATATTCAAGAATTGGGCCTCTGAGCAAGACCAAGAACACTCCACCAAATAGGATAGCTCACCCTAATAAGGCGTACGTTTGCCAATTCTCGAGTGGCCAGCTGGTCTGCGGGTGACGTCACCACTGTCAGCAGCTATCTAAGGTGGAAACAAGACAAATATAAAATCATGCTGTTTCCAAAGTGATAAAGAAGGTAGCTATAATAATATAGTAGATTATTGCCGGATGTTTGAAACGCCAAAGTAGAGAAAACCAATCGAGGCGATTGCTGCATCCTTTTAAGAATTCAATATATGTGTAATTGACCTATCTCGCATAAATAGAAAAAGATATCTTAATTGTAATAATTATTAGTTAAAAAGTGATAAAAGATGGCATACGCGCGCAACTAGTGGGTGGCAATGTAGCCAATTTGTATTGTTGTAGAACAAATGTAGACAATACAAATCAAACATTATATCAATAAAAAAGTAATTTTTCACAACGTGTTTTACAACGCTTTAAATCAAACAAAAGACGTGCTTTAAAGTGTATGTTAACATCATCTATACTTTTATTTTAATAAATGTTTCATCAGGCAACATCGCACAATGAAAGTGCAAAGGAATATGTCAAGTATAATTTGACATAATTTTAAACAACACTGCGGTGAGTTCAGCAGTAATACGTGTCGTGAAATATTAGTTAGGTCTCTGTCGAATTACACGTTACAAAGAAAGAAGGAACGATTAATTCTGAACTGGCCTCTGATTAAGAATATAACGCAAGCCTGTAACAAACTCGCTTCTCATTGGACGCTCACCTGCAACCCACGAGTTGCGCGCGCAGTCAAGGTAAAAAAAGATAGGTCAATTACATCTAATTTGATAATAGTGACGTCACCCGCAGACCTCGATGGATTGCTTGCGATTCAGGCATTTTTTTGAGCTGAGCTGCTTTCCAGCTGCAAAGGTGCTTAGGTTTGGCAGCGCGCGCTTCGAACCTCACAAACTTGGAACGCCGATGTCAGTTGGAACACGCTTCTAAACTCTTTTTGCTGCATTAAAATTACTGTCTTTTATGTCAAATTGTTTACTTAAGCTCGAAGCCACTTATTGTGAGGTGGTGTGTCAGAGAGCAGGGGAGAGGTAGGTTGCGCGCCAAGCTTATTGGCAGATGGAACACAAATTTCACGCGCTTGAGCACGCAAATACTCGATTGCGTTCATAAAACGAACAGCTGTAAAGGGTTTTTTCAACTCGAGTGATGCATTTAGCCAAGAGTTGAGGTCTGCGGTGACGTCACAAATAGTGGGGAGTTGTCGTATGGACATGGTAGACACTTTCAGCTTAATAAGCAGTCCTATTCCAAGAACACACCTGACAGGACTAACAGCTTTTGAGCTGAAATTGTCTGTCATGTCCATGCGACAACTGCTCACTATTTGTGACATCAGCCACAGACCTCAACTTAGCGTAAAATGTAATATCCACACTTTGGTTCTAAAAACTAATTTCTGAACACTAAAATCACCTTTTCTTCATTTAAAATCGACCAAAAAATTACCTCGCAAGCACTGAAGTACAGACTACAGGGTGAGTCACTATATTTTGACACCCACCTGCAGCCGTAATTACAGGTGATAGGTAAAAAGTGTAAATACAAAAGTTGTAGCTTTTTATCTGAACCGCCAGAATTTTTAATTGGATTGAACAAATGAGCAAGAGAAAGTGAAAAAATATGTCGATGTTCACTTTTTTTAAATGGAATATACTTTATTTTCGTTCAAATTCTTAAAGTTCTTGTTTTTCTGATTCAGATTATATAATATCTTAACGTTTCTTTCAATAGTTTTAGAAATATCTGGAGTTTAGTTATTCGAAGATCTATTCACGTAACACAATGTTTTGTGACAGGTAACGGTAACACTGGTAGATCAAGGTAAAATTTATTCAAAAAACTATATCCTGTTCACAATCCGATGTCCACAGGTGCAGGTAAATTTATCACTTTTCCCTATCAAATAGCATTGAAAGGTTATTTTACCTGTACCTAAATCGGATTGTGAATGGATAATACTCTCTTTGATTGAATAACTAAACTCCAGATATTCCCAAAACTATCGAAAGAAACACTAACATCAGAAAAACGAGAACTTTTAAGAATATGAAAGAAAATAAAAGACATTCCATTTGAAAAAAGTGAACATTGACATATTTTTCCATTTTGTGTTGCTCATTTGTTCAATCTAATTAAAAATTCTGGCGGTTCAGATAAAATGCTACCATTTTTGTATTTACATCTTTCACCTATCACCTGTAATTACAGCTGCAGGTGGGTGTTAAAATATGATGACTCACCCTGTACATTCGATTGACCAGATTAAGCCTAGAACCCGTACCATAACCGCGAAATTCGTTCTTTTTTAACATTGCTTCGACAATTTGACGTTTTATGCGTGAATCAAACATCAAATTGTCGAAGCAATGTCAAAAATATGTAATTTTTCTGGTTTGGTCCATTAAATTTTGAAAATTTGTTGTGATCACCCTGTATCCTATTAGAACAAAAATTCGTACATTAGGGTTTTAGACCATTCTAAACAAGAATCTGCTATCAGATTTTTTCTATAAAAATCCCTAATAGTACTTATTGAAATTTGAGCCTATAAATGTGCCTTGAGCCTAATAAGTGCAATATCCGAGTAGTAAAAATTTTAGAAAGGTGGTCAGTCCTCAAGTGGGACACACTGTATAAAAAAAAAAACAAGAAAGTTTTCTACACCAAATGAACAACTGACAAGTGACAGTTGACAGTTATCGAATTGAACCTACTTTTTCCGTTCAGACCGATTTGAGCTGAAATACGTTATGAATCGAATACGACTCAACCTAAATTGCAAGCATTCTATCAAGGTCTGCGGGTGACGTCACCATTATTAACTGTCTGCCTGCTGATACTGGTGACGTCAACCGCAGACCAGCTACCGACTCGAGAACTGGCGAACGTACGCCTTAGGATGTGTTTGGTGTCCTATTTAGTTAAAGTTTTCTTGTTACTGGGATTTTTGGGAATGCCCGATTCAATGGTGGTATTTACAATGTTGCCAAGTTTGCCTTATGTAACTAATTTTTTTCAAATTGAAGTTTCTACTTATTTTTAGTGTAAAAAATTCTGCGTCCTAACATTACTTGAAACCCCTAAATGTTAAGCTTCTATTTGACTTGGTTTTTGAAATATGGCAACACAGCTTTTTCTGTTGAAATGTACGGAAATGGTCTCGTATTTAGAGAGAACATTTTTCTAAAGCTTGTTCTGAAATACGAGACCATTTCCATGTTTTAGTAATGTTAGGACGCTGAATTAAGTACGATAAAATTAAAGATGGACTTTCATATAATAAAAAAATAAGTTACATATAAGGTATCTTATTAGAAATGGTAAAGTTGGCAACATTGCGAGCAACATTGCAAATAACATTATTGAATCGGGCATTCTCAAAAACTCTCAGATATTAGAATACACACATCAAAATGGTCTAGGACACAATAAATATTTATTTTTTAACTATAAGACAAAACAACTTTTTTTGAAGATGTGGGAATTATTTGTTGAACAACTCTTTATCAAATTTACCATTTTGGCGTTTCTTTACAAGTTTGTTTAGTACGAATATTTCATAAATAAAATGTTTAATTTATTTTTCTTTATAGGTATGGATGGCAGAACAAACAGCGGAAGCCTACAAAAAGAAACAAGAAGAACTGCGACAACAATACGAGAAAGAGCAAGATTTGCACGACAACAAAGCCATGCTGAGTAAAGAAAGCAAAGACAAACTTTCCGTTAATTTTATGTACGAACCACCACCAGGTATGTTCAAATCTATCATCAAATTTGTCCAATTTATAAATTATCAGCTTTAAAAATAATCTTTAATATCCCATTTCAGGTGCACGTAAAGAAAGAGAAAAAGAAGACAACGAACCCGAGTACAAATTCGAATGGCAACGAAAATACAACGCCCCCAGAGAAAGCTACTGCAAAGGCGACCAAGAAATCCGCGATCAACCTTTCGGCATACAAGTCCGAAACGTACGATGCATCAAATGTCACAAGTGGGGTCACATCAATACGGACAAAGAGTGTCCTATGTATAGTCTATCAATGAGCGCTGCCAGATCTTTGGAAAGTACTTCGGTAATGGACGAAAACTCTTTGGTAGCTCAAATGCTCGAAGATGGACTTGCTTTAAAGAAACAACACGTCAACACTGTTGAAGCCAACAAACACTTGCTAGTAAGTGAAGATGAAGATGAAAACGAAGAAAGCAAGTTTTTGAAGTCGTTGACAAAGAAGCAAAAGAAAGCTTTGCTGAAGAAATTGGAAAAATTGGAAAGAAAAGTTGAGAAGGAGAAAAAAAAGAAACATGATAGCAGTGAAGAGGATGAAAGTGATAATGAGAGGCGTAAGAAATATAAGTCTCGTAAAGGTGCAGTAAAGTTTGAACCTCGAAATAATAGAGACGGAAGAAGCGATGACAGACGTAAATTTAGACGGTCAACAAGTAGAGACATGGCAAACAGAAAAAGAAGGTCTGCTAGTACCAGTACAGACAGATATCAATCAAAAAGAAATAGGCATTAAGTAATTATTATTGTCTTTATGTAGTTAAGGTATATCTTAAACATTATCACAAACACGAATTAAATCAACCTTAAAAGTATAAATAAGCACAGCCTTTTCATTTAAACCCAACGGACCGGCAACACCGCCACAGAGGCGCCGACTTTTGAGAATTCTCATGGTTGCAGAATAACGACTTTGTAACATTGTTTATAAGGGGAGGGGGAAGCTCGCCTCAGGCGCCGCCAGATGCGATTTTTTTTTTCTAGGAGTGTGCGAAAAATGTTTTTTTCTGCACGAAATTTAAGCCATGAAAATATCACTTTTCGCACTAGTGCGAAAAAGTGAAATAGTTATGTAATGTTGAGTCTCCTGGTTCTTTTATGTCCTAAAATATGCGTGCGAAAAAGTACCTGCGTAACTGCGATCATATAACGAAAATAAAAACCTCAAAACACAAAAATTACCTAATAGGTAGGAACCTACTTCCTATATTAGGCGTAACGTCATTCCAGAAGTTAACTTTTAGTTATTTTTTTTAAATAATGCCCGTCATAAAATTAACGCATTTAACCTGTTTCTCGGTTCTGATTTATGTATATTAGGTGCCGGTACTTTTGCTCTCATTTGACAGCCGTTAAAAATAATCAGGGGTTTGAATGTGCTCTAACCACATCATACTTATAGACCTTGGCCCATGCAAAACTTTGACGACGTATCAAATTCGTTAATCGAGAGCAAAAGTATCAGCCCTAGGTCTCTTCACACAGAAATCACGAACCAATCAGAGTGAATTTCATTGGTTGGAACAAGTTTTCTGACTGTTTTCAACCAATGAAATTCGCTGTAGCTAATTTGTAATGTCTGTGCGAACAAACCTATAAATTATAGAAAGAGATTTTTATTGAAAATCATGGAATCATGAAAAATGTGTCCAAATCATGAGATCTCATGAAAAATCATGAGACCTGGCAACCTTGTGTGCACTGACCTTACCAATGGATTTCACTATAGGCTAGGCCTTTTGTGTATAAAGTTTATAGTGTTTTCATATTTTAATATGGTAAAAAAGGCGAGCAGGCATAAAAATATTATGTATTTCTATTTTTTTTTCTGCCAGACTTAGTAACCCCATTTTATCACATAAAAACACCATAAATTATACACAAAAACACAATAAATCAAGTTTTTTGGTACTCACCCCTTGAACTGTGGCCCCCATCTAAACCACAAAGTTCCTGTACAAAATAAACACATAATTCGAACCGGGACACTTTTCCGAACACTCTAGAGTACTTTTTCCAATTGAAAACTGGAAAATTTCGAGAAAAACGGGCGGACGAAATAGAAACGCGTTGGCCATTTTCCGCTTATAATGGTCGACTGTCAAGTGTCAAAATTGCCATGCCATTGTCAAAAGACATTCCAAAGCCTACCTGGTTAATTAAAACAATAATAAAGGCTTATAATTATATTAATTATAATTAATTTTAGTGTAATTAGGCCTCAATTAAGTCCTAATTAGTTATTTTATTCAATTTTGAATGGTTTTTGTTGTTTGCGATTGCAGCGCCATCTAGTGACAAATGCGTGTAGTTTCAATTATTGTTTCAAAATGGCTACGCGCTTTTTTTTCGAGTGCTAGTTTTTCGTTGAATTTTCCAGTTTTCAATTAGAAAAATTATATAAAAATGTCCGGAACAATGTCGTGGTTCGAATTCTGTGTTTATTTCACCCGGAAAATTAAATTTCCAAGTGGGGGCCGCAGTTTTGAGAGGTGAGTGCAAGAAATTCCATTAATTATTATAATTGCGAAAACCATTGGTAAAACTAGTGCAAAAAACATGTATTTCCGTCACTTTCTTTCACATGCTAGTAGAAAGGACACGAATACACTCAGTGTGCACTCAGGGTTGCCAGGTCGAAAAAAAAATTATTCATGAGAATTCTCAGTAAAAAAACATGAGATGACTAATTTTATCGCGGATCGACAAAAAAATGCGTCTATTTTAATAATATGCATTTTTATTGTATAAAAAAATCACTTTTATCTAAAAAATACAACACAAAACATAAAATATACCAAAAAAAATAAAATAAAAACCTCAAAACATAAAAATTACTTAATAGGTAGGTAAGGTAGGTACCTACTTCCTATATTAGGCGTAACGTTATTCCCATTAGCTGTCAATTTTTTTAAATAATACCCGTCATAAAGTTGACGCATTTAACCTGTTTCTTGGTTCTGATTTATGTATATTAGGTCTCTTCACACAGAAATCACGAACCAGTCAGAGTGAATTTCATTGGTTGGAACAAGTTTTCTGACTGTTTTCAACCAATGAAATTCGCTGTAGCTAATTTGTAATTTCTGTGCGAACAAACCTATAAATTATAGAAAATATTCATTCTACGCAAGCGCTTGAATGAGATAATGTTAAAATATCAAACACAAAGTTTGAATTTCAAATGAAAATAATAGAATTACCGGAGTATGCGTATTGCGTCAAAAATCATGAGATTTTTATTGAAAATCATGGAATCATGAAAAATGTGTCCAAATCATGAGATCTCATGAAAAATCAAGAGATTGGCAACCTTGACGCACACGCTCTAAGTGACGTTTTGTTTTATTTTAGCCGCCTCTGTCAACTGTCACTGTCAATCAATGAACTATACGCACGGCAAAGGACTTATTAGAGAGATTTTGAGCCACCTATTTGATCAACGTTATACGTTATCGGTCATTTTGCTCATGCGCAATAGTGAAAAAATAACCCGTCCGCTTAATAAGCGGTAACGTACTACGCTGTGGAAATAAACGGAACGTTATTAACCGATAACGTTTTAACATCTTTTCCGCATTTCGACGTCCTTTTATATTTTCAATGTTATCCATGAAGTGCAGTACACAATTACACAAAACAAAATACAAATGAATATCTAACAATTCTAACATAAACAACAGACAACATAAAATTTGATGTTAGTTACACAAAATCAAAATCCTAACCACAAATTTTCATTAACGTTTAGCGTATAACGTCCTTCACAAGTTTTGGCTTCAAAAACTAAAAAAGGCTAAACGTCATCCGCTATTTTTCAAAGACTGCGCTTGCTCAGTTTATCGTTTAGCGTGTAAAGTATTTCTAAATTTATGTGGCTCAAAATCTCTCTATTATAAAAGATCCGCGATGTATCGAGAAGATTATATCGATATTTTTTCGATATATCGAATATAAAATATCGGGACTTTCCGTTGTGCATGGAACTGTCCCGATTATTATCAAAGAATAGAGATGGAAAATAGCAGCAACATAAAAGGCAATTTTTCGCGAAGATAATCAAACCAAACATAATCTGAATATGCTCAAATGTTATGTGTGAATTGTGTCACAGTCCCCTAACTTCCTCCCCAACTAATTCTGGGACTGCGAATGACGTCACTATCAGCATCTCATAGTGATGACGTCAGTTGCAGACCTCGATGGAATGCTTACCATTCAGACTGTGCTAGTGAGTTAATTTTTTTATCGATTTTAAATGAAGAAAGGATTATTTTCAGTATGTTCTCACAGAAAAAGTTAAGTGTTCTTGATCCTCGAATATTCCAGAATTTAATAGTGGGGAAGTTAGGGGAGTATGACAAAATTGATACATAACATCTTAGCATAATCGAGTATGCTTGGTTTTCCTCGCGAAAAATTGCCCATAATGCCTATGTAATAGAGCATAGAACTGACCACATAACGGAAGGACAGAATACTAATACCACTTGCATAGGCCGAGTTCGATTTTGACGATTTTTTTCATCTTTTTTGTCGATTTGGTCCGAAATTTTGATAGGCACGTGACTGGATAAGACAGTTTCAATTTACAAATCACGTGCTTGTCAAAATTTCAGAGGAAATCGACGAAAAAGGTGACAAAAACGAACTCGGCCATTGTATAATTCTTATACAAAGTTGTGTAAATTTAAGTTACATGATACTGATGCTACCACATGGAACGGAATGACCAATAAACACGTTTGTACTTCAGGGCCATAGCTAGAGTCAAATTTGTGATAGGGCATGACAAATTTGACATAGGACATACACTACTTGCACCTCCCCCTTTAATTATAAGTAAACAATCCGGTGGTAATGGCGCCTAAAACAAATTTTTCAATAAATAATATCTTTGGCAAGTAAACAAAATGGCGCTGATTCTCGGGCCGCCTTGGACCATTCGCACCAAGGATAATACGCACTAAAAGTGAAATTCATTGGTAAGTTCAGTGCGCACTAGTGCATTCGTGTCCTCTTCTACTAGCATGATGTAAAAGAAAGTGACAGAAATACATGTTTTTTTGCACTAATTTCACCAATTGTTTTCGCCATAACTACCAGTGGCGGCTCGTCAAAGGAGGCAGGGGAGGCTGAACCTTCCCCAAAAAATTGAAAATTCAATCTCAATTTTTTATTTCTGATTTCTAATTAAAATAATAATTAACAAATTACACTTTCCAATTTTCGATATTTCAATGTAATTTAGAAAAGTTTGACAACATTATTTCAATCAATCCCGCGCCTCCACGACAAATATCTGTGAATCTGGGATACTCAGTAATACCGGCCCGAAGGGCCGGAGTTATATGCGAGCCCGAAGGGCCGGAGTAATACGAGCCCGAAGGGCTAGAGTTATTTTAATCACGGGGCCTAGTTTATAATTCTATTGGTGAGCAATAATTTAGAGCTAATTGAAAACCGGGAGTATTTAAAATGCGATTTCTAACGTCCGATCAAAGAGTCAGGAATATTCAAAAACTTTAGTTTTATCAAATTGGCTTCGGAATGTTGGTTTTCTTAAGATTATTAGTTTTTTCAGAAAACGGTGGTTTTTGCAAACTTATACTACTTTATCATTGTCTTTGTCTTACTCACTATAATCAATAAGTAAACCTTTAAATGTCATTTTCATTGAAATTAAACTAAAAACAAGTTGCCTATAATTTATTTGGAGAATTTTAATTATTTTAATCATTATTAATTAATTATTAAATTGAATTTTAAACAAAAATAGTTATTTATGATATAAGTGTTAAAAGTACATTTTTAAGGCACGCATGTGAAATTTTGCAGAATGAGCGAAGCGAATTCTGCAATTCACATAAGTGCCTTAAAAATACTTTTAACACAAATATCATACAATATTTTTTCTACAAACGGCAATAACAAGCAATAACCAGTGACAAATTGGATTTTCAAATGAATAATAAATTGGAAGCATCTTTCCTACGTAAAATTAATGAATTTGATATTTGTCAAAAAATTCAAACAACCAGCACCTTGTTTTACAGGTAATGAAATGTCTCGTCAGTTTCTAAAAAGTCTGTCGTATGGTCTATCGTGGTCAGTAGGCTTTTTGCTAAAAATGCAACAAAATACACAAGAAAAAGAGGGTTGCATCAATCCCTTGAAAAATATAGAGGAGGCGGCCGATGGAGCTTCCTCAGTTGTTCAAATTTTACCATTAAAATTAATGTAAAAAATTAGAAATACAAACTTTTTTTGACGTTTGCTTTCAAATTTTGATGTTTCATTTTTAACACTAGTGCCTTAAAGACTTTTAACACTAGTGCGATAAAGTAACATTTTTAATGCTTCGAGGGGGTGTTAAAAGTTGCATTTTTAACACGTTTGTAGAAAAAATGTTATTTTTGCTTTCCGAAATGAGATGTGGCAACGTTGCTTTTAGTTGGCCATTTTGAAGTGACGCCTTGTAATTTTTTGTCAGTTTTTCCTCGAATTTTTCACTTTTCCGGGGCTTTTCAATGGAAAAAGGCAATTTAACATACGAGGCTTTGAGTTTTCTTCATTTTCTAGCAAAAATGTCCAGTTTTAAAATAACATAAATAACAAAATCCGATTTAAAATATTTTTTTTTTTGGAAGTTTTGATGTGGCAACACCGTTTGTACCAACTTCAAATAGGTTTTGTAATAAATGTCATTTGCCAGTTTTGATAGTCGGCAATTTTTAATTGACGTGTTTACATTTCTATTCAGTTTTTCCTCGAATTTTCCGTTTTCCAAGCCATTTTCAGTCAAGAAAACCGATTTGAAATAAGAGGCTTTGAATTTCCTACATTTTGTGCTAAAAATTCCCAGTTTTCCAATGGGGTAAGTGACAAAAACTCAAATTTCATTAAGTAGGCTTTGGAATGTCATTTTTAGAGGTTTTTCTTTGAATTTGTCCGCTTTTCCAGGGCTTTTGTGGTCGGAAAAACCGATTTAAAGTACGAGGCTTTGAGTTTTCTTCATTTTCCACCAAAAATTTCCAGTGTTTTAACGGGGTAAGTGAGAAAAACTTTGGTTTTATCAAGTAGGTTTTGGAATGTCATTTTCGTTGTTTTTTTTTTGGAATTTTTATTTAAGGTTTTTGGGGTCCGTGGATCGTTTTCTATCACTTTTTTTTCTCGAAATTCGCAAAATAAAAAAAAAATCTTTTTTGACGTTGACAGCTGTCAATTTTTTTTTTGACACAAATTTATAGTTGGCGTCGCGAAACTGCCTTGTACCGGGGTTTGGTTTTCGTAGCTTTTATAGTAGAGCGGGAAAAAAGTCGAACATGTATCAAATTTGACAGGTGATATTTGTTAATATTGCCAAAGTGTCGTGCGACAAAAGTTTTATCCGAACGAACCCGTTCATTGTTAACTGATTTTTCATACTCCGGCCCTTCGGGCCGTAATCTTTGATACAAAAAGACGTCATTTTGTATCGATTGTCAAAAAAACCCAAGGTTTGAAATTTCAATTTTTTGACGTTTGTTCTGAAAAATATTTCTTTTAAAATTCCCAAATTTCCTTTGGAATCTCCAAAAATCTATTAAAATCTCAGAATTCCATAATTTAGTAGAATAATTATGTTATTCTGAAAAAGGAATTAGATGTGAAATTTTTGCGGAGTTTCCATAAAATTCACATTAAATTTTAATTCCTCTCGAATTACTTGAAAGGTTGCTCATAGGTGCACCTGCTCCAATGCTCCCATGTAGTCGGCGCCAATGTAAGAGATACCTAACTCTTGTCAAGAAAATTAATTACTTTAAGCGTGCAGCGTTGGCAAAAGCCCGGATTTTTGGATATTTCTTTTGGTTTTTTGGATTTTTGCGAGAGTTGTGCTTTTGTAGGGTTTTGTGCTTTAAGATCTTTGACTCTTTGACATTCCAAATGATCTCAAACTCAAAACTCAACAAAAACCCACTGAGTTTTTGAAATAGGCTTTTTCTACGAACAGAATATTTTAATTCAAGATATAGGTACTACATATTTTTTACTTCAAATCAAATTACTATCTATAGGTACTATTTTCCATTCAGAAAACTTAGATCTTACACAAATTTTTTGATCAATTTTTGATAAATAAAATGGGGAGAAACACTCGTGGAAAAACATTACACCTAACTCTTGCGGAAAATGTCTTTTCCACCCTTGACAGCTTGTCAACTGCCGTCGCGTGCGGAAAAGCATCACTTTCCAAACTTGTTGGGTAAATAACTGCCAACCGTGAAAGCGCGTTACAGATTCACAACTAGATGGCGAATAATGCATGAAAAGGATTGTCGCCCGAATGTGATTTCATTCAGGAAGCATTTCTGAAAATTACCGGTAAAGAAATTTGTCGGGTTAAATTACCAAAATTAGCGTTACCGCGGTAACGTTACCACACTTTAATCTCTAAGTTAAGGTATATCTTAAACATTATCACAAACACGAATTAAATCAGCCCTAAAAGTATAAATAAGCACAGCCTTTTCATTTAAACCCAACGGACCGGCAACACCGCCATCGGGAAAAATAAATTCCTTATTGTGCAGAGCACTATTGGCAGGATATTTTGGACCTTGGCACGTGAGTTGGGCGTTGCTGGTGGACAGATCTTCTAGATTCCAAATTCCGACGTTTAAGGATTTGCCTTGGCGGGCGATCACGTAGAAGTCATTTTCTGGAGTTTTTAGGACTCCGGAGATTGCGCACCAGTGAGGTTTGTTGCCGTTGTTTTGAGCTGGGGAGAAGTTGTTGCTGTTGTCGTATCTGGATTTTGTGTTAAGGTAAAATTGTGTTGTTGGATCAAGGCATTTTTGAGTAAAAATAAGTAATAAATTGGATAATGTCAGTGCTTCATGTATTTATTTCTATGATTTCATTCTGGTTCTATCTAGCTAGAAATTTGTTTAATGTTTGTGTAGTTTTTAATTTTAAATAACTTTTAATATTATATTTACCACCAATAAATAATTTAATTTGTATTGTTTTTTTTTTTCAAATTTTATTTATTCCAGGCTCTTGGGCTCTTGAATTGTTGTCCAATAAAGCGAGGAAATTTTGTCTTAATACGGAAAATGGTTGGCAACACTGCTGCACAGTGGACTCTCTCACTAAAATTTATAAGACCTATATTTTTCAATAAAAAAGCTGAAAAATTTAACATCATTACTGTGTCAGACGATAACGTGTAAGCATCATACCAATCAAATTTAAGAAGAGTCCAAGGCGCAAACAGTTGTTCCGGTTGCCGCTGGTAAATGGTTTGATTGCGCTGTTGCCAATTGTGAATAAATGTAGTGCGTTGTGGAAAAAAAAATTCAAATCGGCTCGTTTAGCATTTTTTTTTATTACATATTCTAGAGGAGCGTGTTGAATTTAGCAATTTTGTAAAATTCTTAACTTTCCCAACCCTTTTTCCTATTTAAATAAATTATTAAAACGCTCCAAATTTGGAACACCCGGTGACGTCACTGTATCTCTCATGTTGATTGTGGTGGTGCTGGAGGAGAATACACACTCGGAGTGCTCATCGGCCTCGTTTTTGGTAATCGCCTGTATATTGGTGTGATACCATTTCCGACGTCATAACTAAATCGTCAGCTGTTTAAACAACCTACGTCAATGCGAGAAATAACATGCTGCCTACGTCAGAATTGGTATTTTAGCCTGCGGAGAAGGGGGGATTTGTTACACACAGGCCTTATCGAGGATAGGCAATCCTGTAGTAGTAGTAGTAGTAGTGTGTATTATCCTTGGGTCACTATGAAATTACGGGCATTGTTTCGACAAGTTTTAGTTTGACAATTTTTGTATCTGGCAGAAATGGATGTTTTTCTTTCGAATCATATTATAGTATATTTCCTAACTAGTGCGGAAAGTGCCAATTTTCCACATGAGTTAGGAACACTATTTTATCTACGAGATGGCCGTTAATATTTATTATTTAATCCAATTTAAGATAATTTTTTTTTATTTTTCCGTACCTGTACGAGTAGTATACCTGTAAGTACTACGGAGTGCGGAAAAATGGTACTTTAATGACCTAAAATGCATGCGGAAAAGTGCACTTTTCCGCACGCTTGTAGAAAAAAGTATATTTGATTAATTCCCTGACTTTCAATATTTTATAAGTACAATAATAAGGGAAGTAACATGTGTTAACACATAAAAGCTTCAATAGCTCATTTTTACCCCGAGAGGTTATGTAATAGAAAATAATTACGAAACACCGGGTTGTTCTTAATAAAAGTGGACTGTATTAACTTTTCAAAACATTACGATGACAATCGGCAATAAACAAAGTTACATTTTTTATTTATTGTCTGTATTTTGTGCAATAGCAATTTCTTGCTAATTAATTAAAATTTGGACGCGACTTCGCGACGCCGCTTCTTCAATACGGCGGGTAGCACAGTACCTATTTATGCGATAGCCAACTCACGACTACCCTAGGAATTTATACAGAAATGGCGCTTCCATTAAAATATCTAGGTGTGGACGAGTCCATTATTGGAATTTGGGGGGAAGAAGCATATTAAAAAACTTGTTCCTTCTTGTGGGTTTTTTTATGTTTTGGGAGAATTGATATTGCACCAATACTTGTAACCAATACAATAAGGATAGATTGCACCATAATATAAATAATAATATAAAAATCAGGAATAATTATTAGAAAATCCAACAACATGCAAAAAGTAAAATTATACATAGTTCCGCAAACTGTGTGCCAAACTTTCAGCAATTGACATTGCGTTATGCAACACCGTGTGTGCCGGCCTTTAGCCTATCTCGACTCGAGAGATGACGTCATACCATCTTTCAGCGGTGAATTTTTGAGGCATAAATATTTTAATATAAAGACGCGTAACTTTTTTAATATTTATCCAATTAAGCTAGAATTTTTTTTATGTGCTATAGTGCTATAGGACTTCTACGCTATATTTAGGATGACGTCACATTTAGTAAATTTCTGCTGTCAACCTAACAGAACTAAAACTACTTTTTAACGCATTTAAAATAGGGAAATTTCGGATGTTTTTGGTTGGCAACAGCGCGCGACGTTGCATGACTTGTATAAACATTTTCGTTTCGTTATTTTTAACTGTCGTCAGAATGATTGACATATAACATTCTGGTAAATTATTAAAAAAAAATAGGCATTTACAACATTGTCTTTGTTCGATGACGTCATCCTAAATATAAAGTCTGTTTTTTTTTTAAAAGATAAAAGTCAAAATGACATTATGTTGGCAATACAATGTAAAATTGTCAAGGCATTCAAATTTTTTATGTAGAAAAGACTTGTGTTGCCAACATAGTTACTAAATGTTTGACTTAAAAAAAAAAACAGATTTTAACATGAAAAACCTATACAGAGTGTTTCCCGAACATTTTAGGGTATTTTAGGGTCGATTTATAAAAAAAGTTCGGACACGTCAATTTGTATTCCAGGGAAAAACTTTTTGACTCCATCAGTATTTCGCTAGGGTCAGTGGCGTATCTACCGGTGTGCCATGTGTGCCCGGGCCCGAGAGGGGCCCGTGGAGCTCCATAGCGAAACTCCAAAAAAAAACGTAAAAAAATCGAGATTACACCAAGAAAAAAAAAGAAGCTACAGAAACTTCAACATACTGAAACAGGAGATCCTTCCAAGACCCATAATAGGAATTCTAGGCTTCAAAAATTTTTCGCATTTAAAAAATTTCTGGATGGAAAATACGTCCCTGATGCAATTTTGACGCGTTACTATGACAACAGTGACAGAATCTCAGACAGAAGTGTCGTAACAATATGGCGGAAGTGGGATAAGCTTTTTTCTCCTTATGTCGCCTCCTTATTATTCTATCTCAATGATTTTTCCTTAATTTTGCCTAAACAAGTCAATTTTCTTTGAATTTTTCCTGAAGTGATTTTTCACTGGAAAATGTCGAAATTTCCCTATAATGAGCTCCTCACTTTTCTCTTTATCCTGGAAAATTTTCAAAATTTTCCCTTTAGCAGTTTTCCAAAAAAAAATTTAAATGTGAACGGATGAATTTTGCTTAGAAAAGTCAATTTTCCAGAATTTTCCTATCGACTTTCCTTAGAGTGATTTTTCACTAGAAAATTTTGCTTTATTAATTTTCCAAAAATAAATTAAAATGTAAGAGGATGAGTTTTTCTTAATTTTACTTGAAAAAATCATTTTTTCAGAATTTTTCCTGAAGCGATTTTCCATTGGAAAGTTTTGAAATTTTCTTATAATGAGCTCCTGACTTTCCTCTTTTTTCTTTTTTGCCAATTTTCCAGGAAACAATTGAAATGTGAAAGCATGAATTTTCCTTAATTTTACTTGAAAAAGTAATTTTCCAGAATTTTCCCTAGAGTGATTTCTCACTAAAAAATTTCGAAATTTTCCTATAATGAGCTTCTCACTTTCCTCTTTTTCTTGGAAAATTTTCAAAATTTTCCCTCTGCCAGTTCTCCAGAAAAACATTAAAATGTAAGAAGTGAATTTTCCTTAATTTTGCTTAAATAAGTCAATTTTCCAGAATTTTTTATGGAGTGATTTTTCATTTGAAAATTTTAAAATTTTTGCAATAATTTCTATAATTTTCATAGTTTTTCGTAATGTCTATAATTCTCGTAATTTTTCGTTATTCACGTACTTAATTTTTCATAATTTCCATTTTTCGTAAATTCTGTAATATTGAGAAAATTTCCGTAATTTACAAATAATTCATGTAATTTTGAATAACTTTGAGTAATTCCTGCATTTTTGGAATAATCCCTGTAATTCCTCTATTTTTTGTAATTTCAGAATATTTTTTGAAATTTTGAATTAAGTATGTATATAATTCCTATAGTTTTGAATTGATAATTTGAAAAATATAAGAATTGCAAAAATTTCGAAAAATTTTACGAAAATTACAAAAATTTCAAAACTACAAAAAGTTACTAGATTTTTAAAAAATTATGAGAATTATAAAAATTAAAAGAATTGAAAAATTACGAAAATAATTTATTAAAGAATTACAAAAATTGAAAAATATTAGAAACTACAAAAAAATCAAAAAATTACCGAATTTGCGAAGATTCCTCAAAAAATTATGGAAATCACAAAAATTAGGAAAATTATAAAAATTTCATTAAAAAATTACGGAAAATACAGGAATTCGGGAAATATAGAATTAATAAAAATAAATTAAAAAATTATAGAAATATCAAAAATTACAGGGATCGCGAAAAAATGAAAAAAATCGGAAAAATTGCAAAAATCACGGGAATTTTGAAAAATCACGGCAAATACGTTAATTATTAAAAAACTAAGAGGAAAATTAAAAAATTACAAAAAAATCGGGTATTACAAAAGCAATGAAAATCATGAAAATTTGAAAAAAATTACAACACTTACAATTATTGAAAAATTAAAATGAGAATTGCAAAATTACGAAAAAAAACGGGAATGGAAATACTTATGTAATGTAAATTATTTTATATCCTACTGAACTATTAAAACCATATAATACCTTGGTTACGATAATCATAAACAGGGTCTTAACTCCCAAGGGAGTTAAGGATTTTCATAACTCCCAAGGGAGTTAAGGAAGGGAGTTAAGGATATCATAACTCCCAAGGGAGTTAAGGATTTCCATAACTCCCGCTTTTACCTTGAATAGGTAACACTTTGACAAAAAATAGAAATTTTGATTTATGGCTTATTCCTTTATAAAAATAGACAGTAAATTCAGTAGGATATAAAATTATCTATGTACCACGGGAATTATCAGGAGTTAATACCCACGGGCAATTGGTGTCCCTCGGGCCGGAGGCCCTCGGGACACAAACGTTGCCCTGGGGTATTAACACCTGCATAATTCCCTTGATACATAAATAACTATTAAAAAATTACGGG